CAGCTTATCATATGCCAATTATACCTCCATAAAGCTCTTAGCCAAGCCACCCATCTTGTCAGAGGCAGAGAAGGGACCAGAACACACATCTTGTGCCTTGAAGGTGTCACGCTTCCCCATAACCCCAGCACTGTCTTAAAACCAAAGCCTATTTCAAGTTGTAGAAGTGGCTTTTCCCACAGTGTCATTTTTAAAAACTCCATATTTCCGAATTGTTTATAATGAAAAATAGTAACACCCTTGCCAAAAACGTGGCAGACGCTGTCCCACGGCTCCCATCTGACCTGGTCCGCAGACAGAAGTGGACCCCACGGAACTAGGGGAGGGCGGAAGCAGAGCGAAGTGTGTTTTTTTTTTCTTATGTTCATCTCCAGCAAGGCTTGTGAAAAGTATCTTCTTCAAATGATGCAATGAATTTAATTTAGGATAAAAAAGATAAGAGGAACGGGGTTTCTGCTACGGGACTGTACGTTGTGGTGGTAGCTGGTGGTCCGCACAGGTCAAAATAGTTTCTGAACAACCCCTGGGTGAGGAAGAGGCAGGAAACCTTTCAGGAAGTTCCAACTCCTCTTTTTCTCCTTTTTTCCCTCTGATCAAACACTCAGGGCCACCAGGCGTGGTGGCCAGCTTCTAGCGGTCCAAAATAGCTTCTTTGTGCAGAAGGTGAAAGTACAGGGAGAAGGGCAGATGCGTTCAACCCTCGCTTCCCTTTGTTGCTGAACTGCCCGGCGGCCCAGCGCCCTCTGGGTGCCCCTCCGCAGTATGTTTGCACGACCTATTGGCTCTCTAAATAGGAGCTGGGAAGAAACACTCATGCATCTAAGGGATTTTTTTTCTTTATGATTTTTTAAAAATTGCAAATGTGACATACACTTGTAACAATTTCAAACAAGGCAGAATTACACGAAATGCAACAAGGGCAGAGGACGGGCAGTGGCTGAAGGAGTCGGATGAATCTGGTACTGTTTCTGTCCAAGTCAGGGAGATGTCTGCTCATGCAGCTGTGGAAGGTGCTGTCACCGAGTTGTCCAAAGTGCTTGGGGACACAGGATGAACTCTGAGACTTCTCTGGGTGTTCACATGGTCACGGACATTTAACCCATTGGGCTGCTTCGGTGCAGTGGGCCTCCCCAGTGTCTTCCCCACCCCCAAATCCTTTGTGCTTCTCTGCCTGACTCTACGTTCTCTCCAGGAGGCTGACCCTAAAAGATGGTGTCACCCAGGCTCCGTTGCCCTCTGGATTCAGGTCAGGACTGAACGATGGGAGTCACCAACAGGAGACTGAGGGCAGGAGGAGAGAGCCGGGGTGTTTATTACCCCATTTATTCCTCCCCGGCAGTGACTGTTGTCCTAGAGGGATGGCTCCAGCTCTCGATGCCTTTGTGCCTAGACAATGGGTAAGGGCTTCCCACAGTGGCTATTCTCTGGGGGCTTCAACATCCCTTAGAGGCCCCACCTCTAAGAAGCCCCTTTATGGACGTCTCTGCCTGGAAGTGGTCCGATATAACCATTGTACTGAAATGAACCGTTTAAGGCTCTGTCTTCCCGCCCACCCTGCGAGAGGGCACACACGTGGGGAGCGCGTCTTTTTAAGCTCTGTAGCCTCAGCGTTCGGCACAGTGGACTGAACTAAATTGTTGAGTTGACCAAGGGTGTTGGGACACTTGATTGAGATGATCTTAGACCTGGGTTTTAAAGGGCACTGCTGCTTGTATGTGCTGTTTAGATGACATCATTGTACCTGGATGAGGTTTTCTCCAACAGGGGACAAAGTCCAGGACTACGTAGATCACATTGTGTAATATCCAGGGCAGCACGACCCCAGTTAGGGCCTGAATCACAGCCTTTTGTTGATGGTGATGATGATGATGGAATGTCCCTTTACCTGACTGAGTCACAGGAGGATTTCATTGTAGTACTGTGTCCCTCTGCCTAGTGCGATGTAACATTTTCTTTTTTTGGTCAATCTTTTTATTGAGGTATAGTTTACACACAATGACATGCTGTAATTTTAGGAGTAGAGTTGGGTGAGTTTTGATGAACTTATTCACTTGTATAACCACTACTGTCATCAAGATATAGAACATTTTTGTCACTCCAGTATGTTCTTAAGCCCTTTTCCAGTCAATCCCTTAACCAAAACCTCCAACCCCAGCTACCATCTTCACCTTGTGTCCAAAAAACCCATTGTCGCCACCCTCGAATCACGTCGATCCTTGCCTCTGCGCATTTTCTTGTGCTGGTCTTTGTGAGAAACCGTCATTTGCCCCTTCACCTGGTTGACTTACCGTCTTCCTTTAAGACTCCTCCTCCAGGAAGTCTCCCCGATCTTCTCTTCCACTCAGGTTGGATAAGGTTGCCTTCCAGAAAATTCTGTATTGCATCGACTGGATCTCCATCACATGTAGATTTCATTTTATCACACCTTTGTTTAAGTATTCTTCTCCCCTTTTAAACTGTGAGCTCCTTGAGACAGGGACGGGATCATATTCTGCTATGAATTCCAGACTCTAGCACAATGCCTGGCACGCGATACGTTTGTTGTTTAAATAAATAGGTGAATTAAATCATTTTTCCCCCCAGGACACTAACATGAGACTTTTAACTCCACGTGGCATGTTGGGTCCTTTTGGTTGCAAGAAACAAAGACCCAGATACATGGGAGGATTAGTAAAGACACCCTTGCCTTTGGAAAGGCACCCATCCGGCTTAGCCAGAGGGATCTGTCTGTCTGTCCTGTGGCCCCCCTGCCGCTCTCTACCTGTTTAGTTTGTTTGCTTCCCTTTTCTGAGACAGCTTCCTCTGCTCACCTTTCATTTCTGCTTCCTCATAAAGTCAGCTTGTATTTGGTCTCAGCTTCCTCTGGCCCTAACTGTATCCCTGTGTGAGTCAAGTTGACATTTGCAAGGGCAATACTCTGACAAGTTAGTCTAAGTTTTTCAGATTCACATTGTGGCCACACCATGGGCCAGGAACTGGCCTCTGGGTCACACACCTACTATTCCTGGTCCAGTGAGCTCAGAGTGCGTCCCATAAAATGAGATTGCGTGGAGAGCGGGGACTCTTCAAAGAGGGGGTGGGGAGGACAGTGGTAGGCATTCTGAGGCCTCTCCTATCCTACTACTGAGCAAAGTTCCTTGTATTTGTGCACCTCTTTGCTCCTCAATAATTTGTTTTCTCATCCTTCATCTTAGGAAAGCTACTTATCTTCTTTCTTCTTAGGGTTTATAGAATTAAGGAGTATTGCTGGGCTTGGTGGTACATGCCTCTAGTCCAAGCTACTCAGGAGGCTGAGCTGGGAGGATCACTGCAGGCCAGCAGTTCAAGACCTGCTTGGGCAACATAGGGAGACCCTGTCTCAAAACAAACAAACAAACAAACAAACAAAAAAGAATTAAGGAATGTTGAAGCTGGAAGGAACTTCATACTTCTGCTCTGGCATATTCTAATATTCTAGCATATGTTCTATATAACCCTAGGCCCAAAAGATGCTCCATGAGAAAAAGTCAAGCTATTCCATCACCTTCCTTGGATCTCAGCTCACACTGGAACATTCTTCTCAATGGTCTAATTTGCTTGGCATGATCTCTGTTCTTCTGCACAGATGAACCTCTGTAGGGTCCAGAGGCCTCTAAATTGTAGTCTTTGAATCAGGGATTCAAACCACGAACCCCTTGAAATTGTTTGTAAACTCGAGTCAGCATTGTGTGAATGTGTGCGTGTGTGTGTGTGTGTGTGTGTGTGCGTGCGCGCGAGCATGTGTACACACATGAGCATGTTTCCTGAGAGTGTCCACAGCTGTCATCAGATTCTTACAGATAAATAGGACCCCCTCAAAAATGGGTGAGAACCACTGTCTTAAAGAGAGATAGGTTGACTGTGCCTCCCTAAGGCAAACCTCTTTTTGTTCTCCCCCAACTTAAAACATTTTATCTGCTACACTTGATAGCCAGCCAGTGTAAATAGGAGGCAGCGCTTTACATGACAAAGCAGAAAGGCTTTTGATGACTTAGGGGCTGTATCCTGTCACTTTTCTAGAGATGAACACACTAAGAAGATGGTGGTGTGTCAGTGTAGGTTCATCAGTTGTACCGAATGTCCCATTCTGGGGCATAATGGGGGAGGCTCTGAATGTGTGAGGAGAGGGGATATATGGGAAATCTCTGTACCTTCTGCTCAATTTTCCCGTGACCCTAAAACTGCTCTTAAAAATAAAGTCTATTAAAAACGAATAAACCAAAACTCTAAGAACCAGAGAAGTAAAATATAAAATGCCCAAGGCCAGACAGCTGGCTCAGTGGGGGCTACAACCTTCCTCTCTTCCTTCTTCACTTCCTTTCTTTTCTTTTTAAGCCAACACCTTACCAATTCTTCCATTTGGTCAATAAATCACCACTTCTGATTTTTTTTCTAAACATTTATTGAGGGCCAAGCACTGTGTTACACATTTCCCCATTCAACGACACAGCAACCCTTCTGTGGGATATTATGATCCCATTTTTAAATTTTTACTTGTCAGATGAGGACATAGATTTTTAGAGATTTTAAGGAACCTGCCCAAGATTGCCAGCTTAACCAGTGGCAGAGCTGGCACGGGAAAGCCCGCGTTTTCCGCCGCGCTTTGTTAGTGAGGACTCCGTCTCACTTCTGCACATAACTCCGCCCCATCTAAAAGGCTCGCTCCTGGCAACAGGTGCGCCCCCTCGCGCCCCTACCTGCGCTCTCACCTGAGTCTCCGCGGGGCGCGGGGGGAGCCGGACGCCGCCCCCTGGTGGCGGGTGGGCGCACGCGCAGCGCATGCTAATCAGCCCACGGCGCCGCGCGCCCATTGGCTGGCGCGGTTTCCAGCTGCCGCCCGAGTCCGCGGGCGCCCAGGGAGCGTCGAGGGGCCGCCGGCGGCAGCCCGCGCCCTGCCCTGCCCTGCCCGCCCCGCCGCCTCCCTGTCGACGCCCGGCCCGCCCAGGCGCGCTGGCCTTTGCACCTGGGGGCGCTTGCTCTCCCCTCGCAGCAGTGCTCTGGTTGTGAATTCTTCCGGGGTCCAGGATGACAATCCGACACCAAGGCCAGCAGTACAGGCCGAGGATGGCATTTCTGCAGAAGGTAACCCTGGTCCCCACCTGGGCCCTGGCGGTGGGCGGGGGGCCAGGTCTGGGAGGTGTGGAGGAAACGCTTGGCAGGGGTGGAGGGCGTCGCTGTGGTCGGTTTGTGCTGCTTGATCTTATTAATTGACTAATTTGCTGTGTGTGTCGCTTTTGAAGACTGTACTAATTAGGTTTCCATGTCACCTGTTTATAGCGGTGACTCCGAGGCCAGCGCTGATGGTCTGCTGCAGGGTGAAAACAACCTGTTACTCGGAGCGGAGGGTGTCGGAAGGCAGTTCAGCCGAGGCTGTCAGATTTGAGACAGCCTGCTGGTATTGTTAGAAGACACCCAGATGTTTCATTACCATTTTTTGCCATTTATTCTGATCCCAAACTGCACTATTTAAAAATATGCGTGTGTATACCTGTATCATGAAAAGGTGTGTTTTTGTAGGATAAAGGGCCACCCGGTTTACAATGCCCTGAGACCCCTCATTTGAGCCTGTGTATCTGTGTGTCTCCCTCTCTCTGTGCTGGAGGCAGAAGTCAGAACCTGTTCCCGTCTGTTGCAAATGCTTTCTCAGACCAAGTGATCAGGCACAGGGTGTCCCTCCTGGATGGGCATGTGGGAGGTGGAATGCACTCGTCCGGCTGTGTGTCTGGGGACAAAGCGGTTCATTTTGTTCTTAGCTTCTGAGATAACCAGTGTCAGAAGAGATCTATGGAGGATTAGGTCCCAGGTCGCTTGTTTGCCCGTCCTCCCATCCCTGGCCACTTTCCACAGCGCAGTGTCGATCCGCTTAGGCTTATCTCATTGAGGAGAATTAGCCGAATGTTTGTGACAAGGTGGGCCCTCCCCTGAGCCCATGGAGTTCAGTAAATTGGTGACCAACCGTCCTGATCTGCCCAGGACTTTCCAGCTAAAACCTGGACGGTCCTGGGCACATGGGGACCACGGTTGGTCACACTCAGTCCAGCTACTTCGAGAAGCTTGAGCTCATATTCCAGGTGGTGGAAGTGTGAGGATCATTTGTAAAACAGAGAGGCTGAATGTTGTCTAACTCAGAAAAAGCGCTAAGAGCCTATATGGCAGATACTAGTTCCTAAAAGCAGAAGAAACTACTTAAGACTGGTATCTGAAAGCCTTAAATCATCTTCCAGGATTTATCCTAGGATTGATCCCAGGATTGCCTCCTTCTCCCAGGCAGGGCGGCTCTGGCTTGGAGGCTGAGAGTGTGATTATCTGGAGATGTGCAGTTTGTTGATTGAATCTCTAGCGTTCTTTGCCACCATGACTGTTATCCAGCAAATTCTCCTCTCTTTACCTTGGCTTTCTGCCTGGTGCTGTGGTCTCCAGCCTCCCACCTCCTCCACCCCGGCCCCCCTCTTCCACCCCAACCTTCCCTCCTCCGCCCCAACCTTCCTTCCTCCACCCCAGCCTTGTCTCCTCCATCCCAGCCCCCCTCCTGCACCCCAGCCCTCCTCTTCCACCCCAACCTTCCATCCTCCACCCCAGCCCTCCTCCTCTGCCCCAGCCTCCACCCATCCTCCCCACCTCCACGACATCCTGCATACACCGGTTCTCTTTCTCAGACTAACTGTGACCTCCTCCACCTGAAGCCCTCCACTGGCTTCCCACATTCACAGGATAAAGTCCAGCCTCAGCCGGGCCACTCAGGGTCCTGCTGTGGCCCATTTCTCTGGCTCTACCTTCTACCCGCCTTCCACGCCCGCCCTCCAGGAAACAGAACAAAGCAGCCACAGGCACGCAGGGACTTCCTTGCCTTTCTAGGAACCGCACACCCTTCCGTGCCTCAGCTTCCCTCTCTTGGGAAAGTCCTTTCTCCCCTTCTCCCCTGCCAGTCTCCCATGCCCGGCTCAACCGCTCCTCCCCGGTGAAGCCTGGTTGTCCTGCCCCTGAGCTGAGCGACTTCCTCCTTGTGCCCAGCAGACTCTGCCCTGACCTCTAGCATCACTCTGTGCCTTTGCCTCGTGTCGGCAAGGGCCCTGTCCGTGTATCCGCAGATCCTCGGTCATGTCACAGAGCTCCTTAGAGCTGGGGGTAAAATAAAGGTCAGCAGAGCAGGTCTCAAGAGCTGAGGTCCAGGATCCTTAATGAGGACCCAGTGGCACGAGGTGTCCAGCCTTCTGGAGAAGGGCCCAGTCCAAAGGACTGTGGACCTGGGTACCTCAGTCATTCAGTGCTCACTCGGTGCCCAGGGGGCTTACGTGCATTATCTCCTCGGTTCTGGAAGCCAGCAGTTGTGATCACCATTTACAGAGAATGGAACTGAGACTCAGAGAGGTTAAGCAACTGGCCAGTCACACAGCCACTAAGTGGTGAAACCAGGAAAAAATACAAGAGTGGCCATCTTCTGTTATCAAATGCGATACAGCGCTATGAACTTCCCCACGATGTGGGGCAGAGCCTGGGGGCTGTGGGAAGGCCTGGAAGGCCATGGGCTTGGGGGACACAGAGCTGAGGACTGAAGGGTGCACAGGGGGTCCAGGTAGAGAGGAAGGGAAAGGTGTTCCAGGCAGAGGAACAGCATGTGCTGAGGCACAGAGGCGTGGGAAACCTGGTGGGTTTGAGGACACGTCGTTCTGGAATGGATGGAGTTTGAAGTACAAGGGAGAGGAAGGCTGGAAAGGCAGGCTGAGATAAGGAGATCCTCACACGCCTTTGGAACCTTTTGAAGGTGGCTTTTGTAGGGAGCTGGGACAGAATTTGGAATAGGCAAGTGATAGGGCAGATTTGCAAATTAAGAAGACCACTGGTGTGAGTGACAGGACTGGGTGGGATGTTTTCCTTTCCCTGAGCTAAGAGAGTTCACTCAGGGTCCTATGTCCCCTGCCACTCCAGCCACTTGGGAAATGGCAGTTTCTCACGGGGCCAGGGAGAGCGGTGCTGGTTAGAAGGGCTCTTCCTTCTCCTGGGGTGGCTTTCACACCCACACCTCCGTCTCAGGCTTGCTGCAGCCTGGGCGAGCGTGTCCGCCAGCCAAGGCGCCACCCACCTCTGATACCTGGGCTTGCTCAAGATGCGGCGGGAGGAGGTGGAGGGCCCGCCTGTCCACGGCTTTGCTAGGGGATTAGTCGATGACACGCATCGGACAGGCGAGCACAGGTGGGTGGCCTCCTGTGGCTCCGGCACCCATGGGCTCTTGTTCTGATGCTGTCCTGTCCCCTTCTCTGGTCCCATCCCAGCCATACCCGTTACCGCTGCCCTTGGGATTCACACGGGATGACTTTCTTGGTGCCACCTGGAGAAGCCTTCTGTTAGACAGCTTTGTTTTCTCGCGTGGCTTCTGGCATCTCTCTTTGCTTGGAAAGAAAGTGCAGAAGCAGAAATGTTGAGGACACTTGGGCAGAGCGTGGTGTCTCTTGCTTGTGTCGTTCTTTCATTCAGCACACACACATGAGCAAGCGCTTACGTGCTAGGCACTGCGCCAGGTGCTGGGGACACTAAGGAGCTTAGAGTCTAGTGGGGACAGGCAAATGTATAAATAAGGAGAGAAAAGGTGTTACGTGGGTTTGGCAGACGTTGGTAGAGGATACATACAGCACTAAGTGGGGAGTGGTCGATTTCTACCTGGGGTGCAGGGGCGTGGGAGTCAGGACAGGTTTCACAAAGGGGCTTGCAACCGAGTCACGTAATAAAAAGCTAGTCGTTTTTGGCCAGGAGGATGGGAAGATAAGTGATATTTTAGGCAAATACAAAACAGAGACGTGTGAAGTAGCATGGCGGTTTGGAGAGTCCGAGGGGGATGCGATGGCTGGCCCCGAGTGGGCAGCAGGTGGGTTTGGAGGTGATGGGCGGGAAGGCGGGTAGGTAAGCCTGGAACTGGACGGCTTCATATGGCAGACTGAGGAGTCTGATGCTTTCTGTGTTTAATGAGAAGCTGTTTTAAAATCAGGGATGAATAAGATGCGTTGGTTTACATGCTAGAAAGATGATTCCAGTGAGAGGGTGTGTGAGCACTTCTCCACTCTAGTTGTGCTTTTAAAAATATTGATACCAAGTCATGGTATTTAGAGGCTCTGGTTTACTTGGTCTGGAGGTGGGGCCCAGAACTGGTCCCTTTATAAAAGCTTCCCAGGTGGCTGGGATGTGCAGCCAGGATGGAGGCCCCTGGGGACATTCAGCAATGTCTGGATGCATTTGGGGTCATCACAACTGGGGGTGCTCCTGGCACCAGGGATGCTGCTAAACGTCTTGCAATGCACAAGAGAGCCCCCTGCCTCCCCCAAATAACGATCCAGCTCCAAATGTCGGTGGGGCAACGGTTGGGACCCCTGGGCTAGAGGGCACACTGGAGGCTGGAGACAGATGCCCGTTAAAAGGCAGAAACCGATAGTCCGGGAGGGAGGTTAGAAGACGTCCCACTGAGGCAGGATTTAGTGGGCAGGTAAGAGGCGTGTTGCAGACACCAGTAGAATGCACAGAAGTTGGCCACATCTCGGCTGGGGTCATCTGGAATGCTTCCTGGCCTTTTGACCAGGGTGGGAAGAGCAGGTTTTGGGCACAAACACCCAGCACTGCTTAAGGCCTAGTGCTCTCGAGTGTCTGAGCGTCTGGGGGACGGCGGGGCGAGACCATGGGGGGTTGGCTGGACTCCGTGCGGCCAGGCGTATTAGCAATTGCATAGCCTCCTCTGTTAGAAATGCAGCCCTGAGGTTCTGGGTCACTTTCCCTGTCTTTGTACAGAAAAGTACTGATTATTACTGTCCCCTTGGGAGCCTTCCCCAGAGCTTAAAGGAAAATTCCAGCCCCGTAGATTCTCCGCGGTGAGTGACAGCTCCTTAATGCTCAGAGCGGCGTGGGCGTGGTGGGTGGGATGTCGAAGCCATCAAAGGCATCGTTTCTGATCCCTCTGTGATGTGGGGCCCCTGGAACGCCCACGGTCCCGCCTCGGCACATTGGCGTCTGAGGGAGGAAGGGTGGGGCTGACACCACGACCCTATTCTCCCCAGCACAGGATGGGCAGGGTCCAGTGGTGGCCAGGCTCTGGGCATGGA